CTCGTGTGCTGTTTGTTGTTGCTGTACTGTTTCATGTATTGTCCCCCCCTCTATTGTACAGTGCTGAGCAAACCCTTTGGCGCTATATAAACTCGATGTAATATGTAATAATAATAATAATAAAAATGCAGGCAGGGCACAGGACAAAGCACTAGGGACAAAATGTATGTGAAATGGTTTGATACAGTAATGTTTTACTATCAGATTTTAGTGTACTGAGTGAATATCACATTTTAAAAAAATTTTTTTTCAGGGAACTGAACCCAGAACACGGATGCCGGCATCGGCCGGAGGACATGGCTGGGGACGCTGCAAGGAGACATCGCGGGACCATAGGACAAGGTAAGTGCTCGAGGGATCCCAAAGCAATGCTGCAGTGTAATCCCAAGTGTAGCTCGGGGTTACCACTTCTGGTACTGAAAGTTTACCCCGAGCTACACTCGGGAATACCGCCAGAGGGGTTAAAGTTTTTTGGATAGCATACGGAAGGGTTAACATCCCTGTAACATTTGTTTTGCTGTCTGAGCCCCTGTTCAGAAGATTTCACCGCACCTTCTGTCCCTGTAAAAAATGGAATACCACCAGGGAGGTTAATTGATACAGGTGAGTTTAATTACAAATTACAGGAGTATCACAAACTTGGAATGCAATTATTTCTTACAATTTTGAGAAGGTGCTAATAATTTTTTCCAGTCCATTTTTGGGATTTTGAGTGGAATTTGTCAGATTTGCCTTTTTGTTTTTTCACTTTTTGTGTCATACCTATACAAACAGAATAAATAAACAGGATAATGCCTAAACATTTGTAATTGCAAAAATTTTCTGGGGAAGTGGTGCATTATCTGACAGAAATGCAGGGGTGCCAATATTTTTGCCCATGACTGTAGGTCTTCCATAATGAGGTAATATGCAGTGTTCCCAGGGGCTCATTGAAAAAAAAATAGCAGACTTCAATTCTGCTTTTAACATAATTGTTTCAGCTTTAGCTACAATTTTAATCTTTATGTGTTGGACCAGTTGTAAGGAACAAGTATTTGCCTTTATGTTTTTCCAGCATTCTGTCTGCCGGACACAGGGTCCTTGACATTGACAGTCTTCCAACCAAATGCTGGGTTTGGGCATCCACAGAAAATTACTCTCCTGTGCTGCTGCCACGTGCCAGCATGGAAAGGCATTTGGCTACCTAGGTGTCATAACCTGGATTACAAGAGGCAGGGAGAAGAGTCAAATGTCCCTGCCCCCTCTTCCCCGATGCTCCATACTAGGAATTGCTGAGTTGTTTTTAGAGGTCTAGGTGGCAACCATGAGAGCAAGTGGAGGGTAAGAACAAGCTCCTTAATCCAATGTGCTTTTACAGTTGCTTTTACCTGAATGGGCAAAGTGCAGGATATCCTTAAAACAAAAAGCTGCTAAATTCACAGGGAAACCCATTGTTTACAGCAATCAAAGAGCTGTTAATGAGCAAATCACCAACTCATCCCTCCAAAATGGTTTCTCATACCTCCTGCTATGTGATTATGCTGATCGACACAGCACAGATGAAGCATGAACAAACCAAAGAAAGCTATCACTATATCATGGGTTTTTTGGTTAAAGTGGGTCTATGCTCAGTTTTTTCTGGGTGGATATATAAAGAGTACTTAGGCTTTTGGTCATATGGCCATTGCTCATGAGGAAGGTTGGATAATATTGTCTTTGATTCTCCTCTTAAAGAGAACCAAGCAAGGTGAAACAACAGGTTTTCTTTAATGGAGGCCCAACCAGCATTATATTTCACCTTTTCTTTGCTTCTTAAAGTGAAGAAAAATACTCTGCATGGGGTTGCATGGGACTCAGTCACCTTTTTTCCACATGACAGTGCTGTAGCTGGTAATAAACTGTTCAAGCACGCAGCAATATCAGTTGGGGGCAGAGAGAGAACCTTTGACCCTTAGCAAACTCATGACTTGGAAACCAGTAATGATTTACTCTCTGCGCTTCTATCAGTCAAACTGGAGCACAAGGGGAGCAAACAAAAGGTAAATAAGTAGAACTTGTGAGGTCAGAATTAAAATGAGCCTGTTGTTTTGTCTTGCATCTGACCATGAATAACACTAGAGGAATCATAGAGCAGAATTTCCTCCAAGAAAGGATAATTTTTAGAAATCCAATTATTTTTCTAGTAGGACTTATAATGGACCTTTCTGTACAATGTAATATCCACTTATAAGGTCCCTTCCCTCTTTAAATATCTCTAAATTTTAGTAGTTCCAAAGTGCACTTGTAAAATTGAAAGTTAGACTTTATATTTCAATCCTTTGAATGCATAACTGTAACATCGGATGCTTCAAAACTAGAACGGGTTTCACTTCCACAAGGAGCTTATTCTAAGCTCCATGTGGGAGTGAAATGCATCAGTGTTTGGAAGAACCAGGTGGTACAGTTGTACATTGGATCATTCTAAAAAAACTTACACTTTGGCTTTTATTAAGGTGAACTGTTCCCCTTCCTTTCTAAGGATTGGAGAACAATTAATTTAGAGAGGCTAGCAACTTCTGGGAGCCTGTATCCCACATCAGAGGAATAGAGGGGTTATATGCCTGCAGCGAAACAATGTAGTTTGTAATACATCAGTAGATGTTATACATATAACTTACTCCTGTTTTCCACATTGCTGGGAGTGATGCCACTATCTTTCTGAGATAATTCCTTGGGAACAATGAGTAGTTCTTAAGCTATTTTATTCTAGCAGTGATAATAACTATATAATGCAGAAATGGCAGAGGACTAAAGTCTTTGGCTAATTTCCTCCATTAAAATGAATGAATGAATGAATGAATGAATGAATTAATTAAAATTTATATTTATCTCAGATACTTATATAGCGCCGTCAATTTACGCAGCGCTTTACATATATAAATATACTGTATTGTACATTCACATCAGTCCCTAACCCTCAAGGGGTGTACAATCTAAGGTATATATATATATATATATATACTACTTAAAAAAATTAAAGGAACACTTTGAAAATACATCAGATCTCAATGGGGAAAACATATCATGCTGGGTATACTGATGTGGACTGGGTATAGATACCCCAAAAATCAAAGTGAAAAAATGATGCAGCAAGCTAGTCCATTTTGCTGAAATGTCATTGCACAAAATCAGAATGGTACTCAGTAGTTTGTATGGCCCCCCATGTGCTTGTATGCATGCCTGACAACGCATGCTGTTAATGAGACAACGGATGGTGTCTTGGGGCATATGCTCCCAGATCTGGACCAGGGCATCACTGAGCTCCTAGACAGTCTGAGGTGCAACCTTGCGGCGTCGATTGGACCGAAACATGATATCCCAGAGGTGTTCTATTGGATTTAGGTCAGGCGAGTATGGGGGCCATTCACTGTTATCAATTCCTTCATCCTCCAGGAACTGCCTGCATACTCTCACCACATGAGGCTGGGCATTGTCGTACACCAGAAGGAACCCAGGACCCACTGCACTAGTGTAGGGTCTGACAATGGGTCCAAGGATTTCATCCCGATACCTAATGGCAGTCTGGGTGCCATTGTCTAGTCTGTGGAGGTCTGTGCGTCCCTCCATGGATATGCCTCCCCAGACCTTCACTGATCCACCACCAAAATGGTCATGCTGAAAAATGTTACAGGCATCATAATGTTCTCCACAGCTTCTCCAGACCCTTTCACGTCTGTCACATATACTCATGGTGAACCTGCTTTCATCTGTGAAAAGCACAGGGCGCCAGTGGCGAACCTGCCAATTCTGGTGTTCAATGGCAAATACCAATCGAGCTCTATGGGGCCAGGCAGTGAGCGCAGGACCCACTAGAGGACATCCTCATGAAGTCTGTTTCTGATTGTTTGCCCAGAGACATTCACATCAGTGGCCTGCTGGAGGTCATTCTGCAGAGCTGAGAGTGCTCATCCTGTTCCTCCTTGCACAAAAGAGCAGATACCGGTCCTGCTGATGGGTTAAGGACCTTCTATAACCCTGTCCAGCTCCGCTAGAGTAACGGCCTGTCTCCTGGAATCTCCTCCATGCTCTTGAGACTGGGCTGGGAGACACAGCAAACCTTCTGGCAATGGCACGGATTGATGTACCATCCTGGAGGAGTTGGACTACCTGTGCAACCTCTGTAGGGTCCAGGTATTGCCTCATGCTACCAGAAGTGTCACTGACCCTAGCCAAATGCAAAACTAGTGAAAAACAGTCAGAAAAGATGAGTAGGGAAAAAAAAAAAATGACCTTGGCTTCTGCCTGTAAAACCATTCCTGTTTTGGGGGTCGTCTCATTGTTACCCATCTAGTGCACCTGTTGTTAATTTCATTAACACCAAAGCATCTGAAACTGATTAACAACCCCCTCCGCTACTTAACTGACCAGATCAATATCCCAGGAGTTGACTTGACTTGATGCTATACTCTGATTAACCACTTGCCTACCAGGCACTTATACCCCCTTCCTTACCAGGCCAATATTCAGCTTTCAGCGCTGCCGCACTTTGATTGACAATTGTGCGGTCATGCAACATTGTACCCATATGAAATTTTGATCATTTTTTTCTCACAAATAGAGCTTTCTTTTGGTCGTATGTAATTGCCACTGGGCGCTTTACTTTTTGCGCTATAAATAAAAAAAGTGCAAAAAAATTTGAAAAAAAAAATTTTTCTTTGTTTCTATTATAAAATTTTTCAAACAGGTATTTTTTCTCCTTCACTGATGTGCGTTGATGAGGTAGCACTGATGGGCACTGATAGGCGGCACTGATGGGCACTGATAGGCAGCACTAAAGGGCACTGATAGGCAGTACTAATGAGGTGGCACGGATAGGCGGCACTGATAGACAGCACTAATGAGGTGTCACGGATAGGCGGCACTAATATGCAGCACTGATAGGCGGCACTGATAGGTGACACTGATGATGGGTACTGATAGACGGCACTGACTGGCATCACTGCTGGGCACTGACTGGTGGCACTGACTGGCACAACCCCTAGGCACTGACTGGTGGCACTGACTGGCAGCACTGCTGGGCTGCACTGGTGGGTGGCACTGGTGGGCAGCACTGGTGGGTGGGCACAGGTGGGTGGGCACAGGTGGGTGGCACTGGTGGGCACAGGTGGGTGGGCACAGGTGGGTGGCACTTCTGGGCACAGGTAGGTGGCACTTCTGGGCACAGGTGTGTGACACTGCAGAGTGGCACAGGTGGGTGCACTGCTGGGCACAGGTGGGCGGAGCTAGTGGGCGCACTGCTGGGCACAGGTGGGCGGAACTTGCGGGTGGCACTGCTGGGCACCGATCATCAGGGCACTGATCATCAGTGTCCTGATGATCGGTGCCGATCCCCGCTCTGACAACTGCCGGTTCTCGGCAGTACTTTCCTCACGATCTGACAGCGTGAGGAAAGTGCAGCCGAGAACCGGCACTTGCATTTCCCTTTGATCAGCGTGTCATTGGACACCGCTGATCACGTGGTAAAAGGCCGCTGGGATTGGCCTTTTACCACATCACGTGATCAGCTGTGTCCGTAGGACACAGCAATCACGGAGATCGCCGGGTGCACGGGAGAGCGCGTTCTGGGGGGACGTCATATGACGTCCACCCAGAACTGGCCGGCCGCAGTGAAGCCGTCATTCGGCTATCTGCGGTCGGCAACTAGTTAAAAAGTGTTCCTGTGATTTTTTTGAGCAGTGTATATACAATTAAAGTAAAACCAGTGCAGAACAAATTTACAGTTGGATGCCTGTTTAGTTCGCAATGTACTGTATCCATTTTAACTATTTTCAAATTAAAGCTGATATTCCAACTAGAAGGTGCAGGTCATATCGTATTGAGCCTTTTGACATGTCTCAACACAAAACCATAATTCGCCTTGACGCGCTTCATTATTGTGTTCTAATTATATAGTTTGGTATATTATGAAACCTGAAAGACATCAAAACTCACTGACATTGATTGTTCCTAAAATGAACAATATTCTATTGAACAACTGCAGTTAATATTGGCTCAGACAAAGCAGAGGTCAACATACAAAAGTCAATGTATTGATTGTAAAATACAGCTTAGTCTTTCAATTTAATAGCTCCATTTTAACAAGAAAATAACGTGAGTCTAAAGTGCAATCTCTTTTTAGCAGAAGCAATTTTGAGCTTGAGAAATATGCGGAATAAAAATTACGTTTCGTACCACACAAATCGGTTGACATTTTTATGAAAAAATAGATTGTGGATTGTGGTTTTGTGGACAGGGCATTGGGTTTCCTGTGACAACTCTACGTTTATTAACGTATTAACGTGAACATAGATACGATGCAAGCTGATGTAGGTTTGTAACATATTTTATGAATTAAAAATGGATCAAGGAAGACAAAAATCCATAGAAATAAAATCTTTAAAGGAAATATATTGTGTTTACAAATGTGTTTTATTTTTCTTTATCTTTCTTTAAATGATCAATAAAACACGCTGAAATCCAATGACAGAGATTCTTATTTCTCTTCTCACATCCATTTTTCTTCTAAGCCTGGTTTTTCTTGTAAAGGTATTTTTTTTTCTCATTAGAATTGCTTCCCTTCTAAGGATTTCTATTATTTTTAGGCATAGTTCTCTGTTTTTTTTTTTTCTTCTCTTTTAAGCCTATTTTCTCTTCTCAGACTCATATCTATTCTGAGCCTTTCTTAATTTTTAGCCTCATTTATCATTAAATCAGAGCTCCAGGAAAACAGCTAAATGCAATACGTCAGTGAGATGTTTTACATGTCAAACAATGTGTTATTTTGTCCATCTAGTCCTGGAATATACACAGCTCTGCCAGTGCCACCCTAACAAAAGGGCCCCCTCTATAGAAAAGGTATATAAAACAATATAAACAGAATGAAATAATAATAAATAAATAACAGTAAAATAATATAAAGAAATTACTTTCTTATATTAAATGTATCTTGGGAGGAAATATTTTTCTGGCAAACATCTATAAAAGATTTTATTCTAGACAAGTATATTGTATAGTTTTTAAAAATGAATTTTGTCTGCTCAAGCGAACCACACATAGAATGCTATGGCATGCATATGTGTATGCATACTTGACCTCAGAATGACGTTGTGTCATGCATTTTAAAAAAACGTGACTGTCGTTGAGAATGTGGACCAACTCTGTGTATAAAGGGCCCACCGAACCTGGCCCCCCAAGGTCTAAATCTAGCCCTAAGCTCTGCCACACAGCACAAACCTGATTCTTCCCTGTGTGCAGTTAAAGAAGCCCTTTGCTCACAATTTATAAATGACGTTATTCCAACTCTCCCCTCTCCCTGTTACACTTTTAAGGGTCCATTCAAAGTGTACAATGTGTGCAGGTAAATGCATGTGTACACTGGCATGCCGTGTTGCACATTTCTCCTCATTTTCTAAGACATGCAAATGGTCTACAGCACTGCAGAGGAGCCATACTTCTGCTGGCCTACTGTTCTCCCTGTGCTTTGAGGAGCATTGTGCTGACTTGCGTTACCATGTGTTGCACTGAAAAAAACGTAAGGCTCACTTTTCTTTTTTTTCCACCACAACTCAGCACATACAAAGGCAGAGCACCAGTGTGAACTGCTCACATTCACGCACCTTATTTGTTACAGGTCCTTGAACTGGCATGCATTGAAAAAAGTGTGCCAACACATCTGGTGTGAATGGACCCCCAACGTTTTTTTTTTTTTTGTATAGCAGGTACCATTTACCTCATAGTTGCTCACATTTCCTCATTTCTAGCCTAGCTGAGGATGAATTGTACTCAGTATCCACTGTCTGCTCCCACCCCCCTGCCCAAAGCCTCCTGACAAACACTGTAAACATTTTAGGAGGATTCAGGACACTCTCGCTCAGCCTGCGTAACCTGTCCTTGTACAGTAGGGGCCTGTCCGTGTCTTTGCAAAAGTTCCCACCACCACCAACTAATACCTTGTTAGCATTCTGGACTTTTCTTCTACTGCTTCAACAAGTGAAAATATAGTTTCTTTCCCCGTACCAAGAAGCATGTGACCTCCTGTCTTCTCTGTCGGAGACAGCACTAAAATCTGTCTGCTATAGAGAAGACAGGAGGTCACATGCTTCTTGGTACTGGGAAAGAAACTATATTTTCATCTTTTGAAGCAGTAGAAAAAAACTCCATTGGGTCCTGCTGCTGTCAATCAAATGCTGTGAGTTGGAAGCGGGGGCAGGGTCAACCAGCGCAGTTAGTGTCTATGGAGTGGGAATCCATAGACACACATAGCTCGGGGGCGAGCAGGGACTGCATGGCACCTTAAAACGGTTGGCTATGGGGACACACAGTGATAAGGAGGAGCCAAGATTGTCTCCCAGAAGAAAAGGTATGGTGTTGCTCTGTACAAAAACGCTGCATAAAGGAGGTAAGTATGACATTTTTGTTATTTTAATTTACAAAAAAATTGCCTTTAATAACACTTTATTTTCCTTTGAACTTCACCTTTCTTTTCAGTCTTACCTTTGTTCTTGAACCTCTCCTCTGAGACTTTATATTTCAATATGTTTTTTAATTTAAAGGAAAGGAATAATACAACCAGGTACAGATATAGGTACAAACTTCAAAAGATACATAAACAGACTTTAACACATGTCTCCAAATAGCATTTCATGTCTTCTAATAGTAGACTGTGTATCAACAATAAGAATTACATAACGGAAGCATTAAGAAAGAATACAACATTACACCTAAAAGCTTATACATTTTCCCCAGTAAGGTGAATTGGTATCCTTAGCGATACTAGCCTCTTTAGAGACCATAGAAAAAATATCAATGATATAAGTTTCAATAGCAGCTATATAAGTTCCTCCTCTGAGACTTTACATGCCTTCCAAGCTTCTTTTCTATTTTGAATTTTACATTGCTTCTAAGACTTGCTTTTATTTTGATCCTTGTATGTCTTATTAGAAAAACATCTTTACAAGGGTTCATTATCATTGTCTCTTCCTCAGTCTAACTGCTCTTTTGAGATTTTGATCTCAGGTCTCTTTGAGGTATACTTATTTTCTTGCCCACACAGTAGTGACAATTTAATGGAAAGGTTATCCAGCGGAGAGGCAGTCCACCACCAGGGTGCTAGGGAGTGCCATCTGTTGGGAGAGCAGAGGATCATGTAAGTTAAAGTGTTTCTCCTCTCCCCTAGATAACAAAAGCAATCAACAGCCTCACTTTAAGGGATAATTTTCAATTTTCTCAGAGTGGGAATTTAAGGGGGCTGTAGGGAGCTCAAATTTAAAAGTATTGATTTTTAAATAGTCTATAATACCAGTAATCTCTAGTATTCCCATATCAATGTCTCCAGTCCATATCTATTTTCTGCAGCATATTCTCACTCTCTTACAACTCCTTTAGTATGTTTGTTTGTAGTCTACTTAATATCATGTGTTGCCCTTTGGTGATGTCAAGAACCATATTTAAGGCTCCCTATATCAAGTATGTTGAACACCACTATATAAAAGAAATTGACCACCACTGGTAAACAGCAATAGAGACAATCAACTCACTACTCTTCCCCATAACAGAGCCCTGCTTCTCCTATGAATATATTCCCTTCCTATATATGTTACTTTCATACAGTCTTTTCTTTTCATACCTTTGGATGCCTTCTTCAGCATCCCAGGTGGCCCAAATCCCTGAGCTCAGCTTTCAAGTTCTGATGTTACAGTATAGTGCTGAGAGCTCCCCATCCCACTCCTACTACTCTTGTTTTTTACTGCCCAGTAAGGCTGTCCATGATAGTGATAGGAGAATAGGAAATTGAGGGAGAAGGTGTGTGGGGGGTGGGGGGGGGGGGGGGGGGGGGTCAGGAATATCAAGAACTATGTGTGCTTTCTTTCAAGTGCTGCAGGCCTCTCAAAAGTGAGTTAGTACCATTTTTATTTTTGGCCCTGATGCCATCCCAGCCTAGGTGTGTCACTGGTCCTGCAGCCTCCTGGGATACTTACATCACAACTCCCATGAGGCTGAAAGATTGGCACACAGAGCAGGTCGGGGGTAACCACAAAAGTCAGCCAGCTGAATAGGAACTAAAATAGTGGTGCAGTATCAGCACCCAAACAGTGAATCACAGTGGGGCAATGATGGATTCACTGTGCTGGTGAGTATGTGTCTTGCAGAGAACCCAGAAATAGATGTAACAGGGTTAAAAAAAAAATGTGGGAGTGAGTCAAGTACCACTTGCTACCTATCACATTATCTACAGTGAGGCTAATTTCACATGGCACTAATTGTAAAGGCAGGAGAAGATGAGTAGTGTTACTGGTATCCTGTACCCTCGACACTCTCTCCTAGCATCAGAAAAAACACATGGCACATGGTCTGTCATAGAAATTTTAACATCAAAACACCCTTAGCATAAAAACATGCACACAGTTTTCTAATGGCATGACATTTCTAGTTGTAATGCTACCCCCAACTGAGGCTGCTAAATTTACCTGGATCTCCCCCAAACAGCACAAGTACCGCCAGCCACCCAAGCAACAGTCCATCCACTCTGGCTCAAATAACAGTCTAGGAGTTGGGGTTTCTTTTGTAGTTTATTGCTGAGTCTTGGCATTGGATACCTTCAAGAAAGCAATAGTTAGTGATCAGAGGCCTTTTAGCAGCAGTAGCACTAGTAGTTAAGATTGAACAGTCCAAGGACTCACAGCTGAAGACCATGAAACAAGTCTTTGGGGCATCTGGTTACCCCATACCAAAGTGCAACATCGGTATCTAGTACAATGTCCAGCACTCAATCTCAGGGATCAACTTGAAGTCACTACTCACAAGTCCACAGGACATCTGTCTACTTCGAGCTTCCTTTGGACACAACCCAGGGATTGAGATGGCACCACTCTGGACTGGATCCCTTGTGGTATGGTTCTGCAGTCAGCTCTGAGCAAACTCCATTTGAACCTTGGGTCCTAGCACCTCTGAAGCTTCCTTGAGCAGATGCCAAATCCATGTGCTGACTGACAGAAGCAGCCCCTGCACCTCTGGAACTCTCCTGGGATGAAGGAACCTTGCTGTCCATTGTGTCAAATTATTTATGCACACTCTGGCCCCCTTCTGGAAACTTCCCCTCCAGGTATTGGCCAGAATCCGATAAATATTCAAGCTGGGCACTGACACTCCTGCCCAGGGGCAGACTGACCGTTAGGAAACTCGGGCACTGCCCAAGGGCCCAGGGTCAGTAGGGGGCTCCATGAGATGCCCCTGGTACATTTTTTCATAGGCTTTTTTGAGTTTCGGCAAAGACACAGGGGCCCCATGATCCCCTATTGCCTGGGGGCCCCATGAGTTGTCAGTTCGCCCCTGCTCCTGCCATAAGCTCTGGAAGCTTCTTCTAGAGGCAAAGGGAAGCAATCACCCTCTCAGCCTGCTAGACACAGAGGACTAAACAGTTACTGCTCCTTTGATTACATAGGAATCCAAAAGCTAAATTTGCCTAGCCAACTAAGCTAGGAGGGTGCTACATAGCAATGAATAGAGTGCAAATCTTACATATTGCACTACTGGCAGTTTTCTGCCTTCAGCCACATGTCTTTGGGCATTGCCAGATCATTGGAAATAACTTAATGAACCAAAGGCTCTGAACTTTTTTATGATATGGATCTAATCCACATGGGACACATGATTTTAATGTAAAACATCTGTACACCACTTGAAGAAATATAAGGCAATGAAAGCCACTACATCCTGTTAACACTGGAGGTAAAAAAAAAAATCTTTAAAATACAAGAATTCACAAACTTACTTCACAACAATCCTCCACTGCTTTAGTTTATGCCTGGAAAGGCTTGTGCAGTACAAAAATTGTTCCTTCATCTGCAGGTCACTCCGCAATCACATGGGTCATTAAAAATGTTTTTTTCTTTCCAGAACCAGGTGTCTTCTTTCTCTGAACAAGCTGTTTAAAGACATAAATCGGACCCTTGGCCAGAGAAAAGTCGCTGTTTTGAGCAAACATTGTTCAACCTGTAATAGTAAAACATTCACTGCCTGTTTCTTCTTTCCGTGTTTTGATGTGAACGGTAGAGCCACAGGCATTTTTTATTGTTTTGAAGCCAGGAGCATGTGCCTGGGTCTATCCGTTTATGTCATTCCAAAAAATATGTCAGATAATTACAGACAGTTTGAGAATGCCAAGCACACATCAGAGGCTCGTACTTCAAAAAGTCAGCAGGGGCTGAATCTTTTGTTAATTTTCCAATGGGCTTTTGGTACAATGTACTTGACTGGAATGCAGGATGCAGTTAAAGAACAACTACAAAAGAGTTTTATATGAACTGAAGTACAAACATTCCACTTTAAATGATCACTCGCTTTACAGGATGGCAAAACCTAAACTAAAAAATACTAATAAACAAACTAAGAAATACTTGTAAAAGTTCCCAAACTTAGGAATGGGCTTATTTTGGGTTGATGTAACATTGACAGTGTAGCTGAATGATATAGTGGGGTTGGTGCACTAAAGGCAATTAGACTCTGCACTTTAAAAGTGCAGTTGCACTCTACCAGCGCAGTTGCTCCAGAGCTTATTATATGACAGAAAGTTCTGCTGTCTTCCATCATCCAATCATGTGCAAGAAAAAATGCTGTTTTTTTCCCTTGCATGTGATTGGGTATTTCTTTGCAAAGTGAAGCATCACCTCATTTACTAAGCTCTGAACAACTGCACTTACAGAGTGCAACAATACTTGCAAAGTGCAGTCTATTTGCTTTTATTACATCAACCCCACAGCTTCTGTCCATTAAGAGTTTTCTTTCTGGCCACTGGACAGTGAAATAGGAGGAGGATTTGGAAGCATAAATTCATGGTAAGTAAAAGCTCAGTAATACAATGAAAATAAATCAGCACAGAAGAAGCTTTTATGGCTAATTAAAATAATATCCGATGAATTGTGGTTTACTTAGGTCATTCAAATATAGGGCTTCTTCACTATAAAGAGGTTTCTACACCACCTTGATAAATACAATTGAAATAAATAGATGATTTGAAATAAGTGGTTCTAAAGGCAGAACATTTTTTTTACCTTAATGAATTCTCTGTATTAAGGTAAAAACACCTTCTGGGTGCAGCTCCCCTCCAGACCCCTTTATACTTACCTGAGTCCGATCTTGATCCAGTGATGTGCACAAGAGCAGAGGCTCTCCTGTCTATCTCCCTCCTCATTGGCTCAGAGACAGCAGCAGGAGCCATTGACTCTCACTGCTGTTAATCACAGCCAGGGAGGAGGGAGCGTGAGCATAGTCAGGGTCGAGCCATGCTCTGTGTGTCTATGGACACACAGAGCACAGCTTGGGACTGAGCACACGAGTGCCCCATAGCAAGCATATTGTTATAGGGGTGCTCAGTGGGGGGGAGCAGGGGGATATAAGAAGAAGAGGACCGGGCCTGCTCTGTACAAAACCATTGCACAGCGCAGGTAAGTATGACATGTTTGTTATTTAAAAATAAGAATATATATCATTTACAACCACCTTACATCAACAGTGGCAGTTGTAGCAGCATTCATATTTTTATTTCCTTTAAGTATCCCCCACCCCAATTCGATAAGGTCTGTTCTGCATGGTTGGTGAGCAGGTACTGCAAGTAAACCAATAATTTGCAAATAGTGAGCAGTCCATGCAGCCGCACCACCCGCACAGAGAAATGCGGACCCGCGGGCAGGTGCCATTAGTTCTAATTGCAAGCCACCCGCACTGGAAAACGCAACTGTACTGAAGAACCTAGGGAGTGGCGACAGATGTGTTCGAAAGCCGTAGATTGGAAAGGGAATGTGGAATTGCGTCTCAGGGAAGTCACTCAATGGCGGAGCAGTAGGCATCGAAAAAATTCCACAGGTGGGGCTTCATGGGCCTACTGAATAGAGGGCCAAGAAGGGATTGTGCGTGAAGTGAGAAAGTTGCAAACTTGCGTAAAGCCATGGGATGACCACCATGAGAACGCCCTTGGCTGTTATAAACCTGGAGGGAAAAGGGGATTATTGAATAGTGGAAGAAGGGGCAGGAAGAGGGACTTAAGAGTGCCTGAGTAACGGACCAAGTCCCAGAGTTGCAAGCTGTGGAGTATAAGGGAACTAAGTGGTGAAGGGCAGAGCCATTGAGGGAGTCAAAGAAGAGCAGTCATGGGGATCGAAGAACAATTAGGTAGCTCCAGAATAACCTAGAGAGGGATGTCTGTTGTGGCATGAAGTAGGGTGAGCTGGGAAATTTGCATTGCCATGCAATATTTAGAGATATTAGGAACCGCTAATCCTCCACATCATCTATGGGTGTATAGGGTGCAACATGAGACTCTGGGGCACTTATAGGCCCAAATAAAGGAGAGGATTCTTCTCTGCATAAGGTGCAGGTAAAAGGAGAGAACTAGGACCGGAAGGGTTCTAAAGTAGTATAAGACTTTAGGGAGAATGATCATTTTGATCACTTGGATATGGAAGGGAACTGCCAAAATTACATAAGGGGGGTGATAGTTTTCAAAAGTAGGTAGTAGTTGGTCGCGAAAAGGGTAGAATAGGAAGGGGTCAACTTGACCCCTAGGTAATCCAGAGAAGTGGTCCAACGGTATGGAAAATATGTCTGGAGGTGCGACACTGTAGGGGAAGGCATGGAAATATTCAGCGCCGTCGTTTTCTGAGGATTGATGGGAAGACCCAACAGTTCAGAAAAACATGAGAGGAGGAGTTGCAGATTAGAAGGTTAGTGAGAGGGTTAGTTAGAGTCAAAAGCATATCATCTGCAAATGGGTTCACCTTGAAATTCATGCCTGATTAGCTGACCCCAGTGATATTTAGGTTCTCCCTTAGCGCTATCTAAGCGGGTGCCTGGTTTTGACAGGTCCTGCTCCCACTTCTGGGTAATATTGCCACAGCGATCTTGCAGCCTCTCCTCCTTCCTCTGCAGCCTTCTAGGACACACTCAGGTCCCAGGAGACTGTGGGACCAGTCACACAGTGCAGTCCGGATGGTGCAGTAGGAAACCAACTGTAAAGTTGGAAGGCTTCACTACCAGTTTCCTTTACCCAAGATGCCAGCTCCTGCACCCGAAGCAGATTGAATGAATCGGCTCGGGTGAGGACATCACTGGATCCCTTGACAGGTAAGTGTCTTTATATTATAAGTCAGCAACTACAGTATTTGTAGCTGCTGACTTTTAATTTTTTTTTTGTGTGAGGCTGACTTTTATTTTTTTTTGAGGAAGGCTGAAGCTGCACTTTGAATAAAAACTATCAACATGGGGGGGCGTGGCTAGCCGCCGACGAGCATGGCCGCTTGAATCCGGAGCTTCCGCCGCCGGCTGGATCGATCCACCACGCCGCACAGAGGAGTCGGGTGAGACAGTGCCCCTTCGCTATGGGGAAACCCGACAGGGTGTCCTCCGGCGCGCGGGTCCCGGTCCCCGAGGGGCCCTAGCACCACTGGGAGGCACATAAAGGAGCTGTTCAGCTCCCAACAGCAGAGAGCAGGGCCGCAGCCTTCTCCCTCTCTCTCTCAGTCCCCCTCTCCCCCTCCCTCTGCAGCCGAGGACACAGGCTGCTCTCACTGCACTGAGACACACGCTGGCCAGGACACAGTGCCACTTCATGATATCTCCTCTGCCACACAGTCCCTCTCATTAAGGGACTTACAAGCGGTGGCTGCTGACATTAAGGTCACACTAACCACTACACTGACCACTGCCCTTAACGACCTGCGCGAGGATATCCGCGCTATATGGGGTCCAGAATGGATCAAGTAGAGATGGCCGCTAGACAAAATAAGACTGCCATAGTATATTTACAGTGACAGTCAGAGTCGCACACCTCGACTATCCGGGATTTTTACAAGCATATCGAGGATTTAGACAACCGTGGCCGTAGACACAATATCAGAATCCGTGGCATGCCGGAATCCGTGGAAGCCACTGACATTCCTAAGGCAGTAACTACCATCTTTAATGACCTCTTAGGCCACCCGCCAGCAACCCCAATTGACATTGAGCGTGTACATAGGGCCATCCGGCCTAGGGGGGGTGACGCAGACCCACCCAGGGATGTGGTATGCTGCGTTGTCAGCTTCCTGCTCAAGGAGGATGTCCTCAGATGTGCTAGGGACAGAAGACAGCTAATGTACAAAGGGGCGGAAATACAATTGTACCAGGACCTATCCAGCATGACCTTACGCCAAAGGCGAGCCTTGCGTCCATTACTAGACACGCTTCGCTCCCGAAATCTGTCCTATAGGTGGAGATTTCCCTTTTGCCTTTCAGTACAGGATGGTGGTCACACCTTTAACTTGAGAAACCCCGAAGATCTACCGTCTTTCTGTTCCTCCTTGAACATCCCACCGATAGCCCTGCCAGAATGGTGCGGACTCTTGGGACTGCAGCCGGTCCTGGACGCAGGATCTACAGAAAACGCAATGGATTGGCAAGGCCATTCCCATCGTAGACGTCGGGCAGTCCCGTCGACTCCTCCAAGACACCCCACAGGGGGCACTGCGGCCCCCTAGCCCTACGGCTTCGCCTGCGCATAGAAAGTCACGGCACGAGACTTAATCCTACCTAATCCTCATCTACTCCTGCCACTCAAGCGCATTTTCTCATAGGTGCCTGCAGTTTTACTGTTATCCTCATGTTTCTATACCATTTTTTCACGAGTCCCGGCGATTCTTCGATCTCTCACACAATGATCAGTGGACCTTCATTACTTCCATCTCAATATCTGACCTCCCAAAGGGAACGCAATGCCCCAGAGGTCTGCTCCGCAACTAACGTATGGTGGACTTCTGTGAGCCCCCTACTGATCATCTCTACGCCATGGTCAGAAGAGATCTATACATAATATGAATGGCTCCTCCTCCTGGACAGATGACCTATTCTTCAGCTCTCTCTTCTCTTTCGACATTCAGCATCCCGGTTTCAGTCAACAGACCTCGCGCTGACTTGCCCTATGAGCTAGACCCACACGTACTCCAATCTAATGTGGACCTCTGAGTCGTCTGTATTCCTTTGTCCCTGCCCTTTTTGTTCCCCCAGAGCCTCCTCTTGCTATACTGGAAGAAGATCTATTTCTCCGTGGAAGCATCCAGATGACCTCTGCTTCTCTGCTGCCCGTCCCGTCACACTCTGCTTAATCGGTGTCCTCAAAGAAGACCCTGACAGACTTAGTACAGTATATGATACCATTGGGGGTGTGTTGGGGGCATGGGAGGGAGGGGGGGCTGGTTACGGGGAGGAGAGTGGGACTTATAGGGGGATTCCACAGATGGGTTTTTTTTTTTTTTTTTTTGGCTTAGCGAGCGAACATCACCTCTCCTCGCCTCCTACTAAGCTGTCCCATCTGGACGTGCCTCTGCTTACTGGCCGGTCCCCGTCTCTTGATCCGGATGAGAGTACGATTCAGGGGTTGCCCGCACTGTCAATGCTTCCACGGGACCTGCTTCCCCCATACCCCTGCGACTTCCCCGATTTCCCTAGTGCGTGAGAGGTGATGCTCGTTCTTGTTGTCACCGTAGGGGCTGTAGATGGTTTATCCTTGCTTTGATTTTTGACACTTAGCCTTTCTACTCTATGGGACATGATTGGCGTTGACCCTGGGGTAGCCCAGACATTTTTGCGCGATGCTTGGGACTCAACACTGTTTTTTCTGTTTTTGCATTGCTTTAACTGTTATTGCATATATTGACCTGTTGATATTATGTTTTATGTAAGGGGATGCTTATATTACTCATTTGGCCTCCTACAATTCCGCATATTGCCTTTTCCCCTTAATTGCCTGCCATATGTCTCAAAATTACCTGTTGGCTCACAAGTGGTTATGGCCTCTAAACCCTGATATGTGCCCTGCTACTCTACAGTGAGGGCTGGGACCCTGCGCTGCATATCGTACCTCAGGCTTCTTCTGCAATATGGGTCTTTGTAGACTCCTCCCTCTTCAAATCCCACTCCTTTAAACAAATTTTTACACATTTCATGGTGGTTTCCGACCGGCGGTGGTTCTACTCTCGTTTCGTCGTCTACCTCGTTCCCAACACAGTAGGCTCTGCGAGCTATTACTGAATATTTCTACGGCTATCTTCACTATCTCGATTCTCCCCTTTTCTCTCTTTACTTGCCTCATACTGTTCGTCTCCTTCTCTTATACGTACTCCTCTCCTCCTCTTTTCTCTTTCTTTCTTTCTGTCTATTTCCTTTCAGGTGTTTTATCCTCTCTCACGTGGAATAGCAGGTCTCTTCCTCTAGCCGTTTACTCTTACTATCTTTTCGCCCCCCCCCCCCCCCCCCTTTTTTTTTTTTTTTTTTCCTTTCTCTCTCTTTCCCTTCAACCCCGCCCCCCCCGGGGCGCTGCATCTTTGGACACTCGCAACACTGATTGGTAAACATGCCGTCCCTCACCTCAGTTTCGAGACCAAGGTCCCTGAAAATCCTCTCACTCAACACCAAGGGTCTGAACACACCCGAAAAGCGCTCCATGTTGCTCTCCTATCTGCATAAACAAAAGGCAGATGTTGTCTTCCTTCAAGAGACGCACTTTCGTCAGGACCCTATTCCCAAGCTTTTTAATTTCCACTTTCCCATAGTCCACCATGCCACTAACCCTCTGGCCAAGTCGAAAGGTAGAGATGAGCGAATTATTCAAAAAATTTGATTCGGCTGATTCGCCGAATTTGTGGAATAAATTCGATTCGATGCGAATTTATTCGCTGCGAATTTTAACTTATAAAAAGGGTTTCTAGGCTTCAGAGAGCCTTTATATTAGTGCCCAGAACACTGTACCTTTAATTTAAATGCCCTTGGAGTCTGCTGGGGAAGAGAAATAATACTGTCAGTCAGTATGACATGCAGATGAGTGCCGTCGATCTTAGAATCACCGCACACTTCACTCATTTGGGCAGTCACGGGGCCAAAACCAGAGTGTGGAGCCACAGTGTGGCGGTGGAGGCAGCAGCAATGGGAGGCCATACAGCACCCTATGACAAAATGGAACCCACCAGCAGTGTGAGGAGACCTGAAAGTGGCACATGGCAGAGTGTGGCGATGGAGACAGCAGCAATGGGAGGCCGTACAGGGACCCATGACACACTCTGGACCTGGCAGCAGCATGAGGAGGCGGTACAGGGGCCCATGGCAAGAAGAAGAAGAGGAAGAAGAAGAAGAAGAAGTAGGATGAGGATGAAGAAGAAGAAGAAGAAGAAAGAAGAAGTAGGATGAGGATGAAGAAGAAGAAGAAGAAGAAGTAGGATGAGGATGAAGAAGAAGAAGAAGAAGAAAGGATGAGGATGAAGAAGTAGGATGAGGATGAAGAAGAAGAAGAAGAAGAAGAAGAAGTAGGATGAGGATGAAGAAGAAGAAGAAGAAGAAGAAGAAGAAGAAGTAGGATGAGGAAGAAGAAGAAGAAGTAGGATGAGGATGAAGAAGAAAGAAGTAGGATGAGAATGAAGAAGAAGAAGAAGAAGAAAGTAGGATGAGGATGAAGAAGAAGAAGAAGAAGAAGTAGGATGAGGATGAAGAAGAAGAAGAAGTAGAAGTAGGATGAGGATGAAGAAGAAGAAGAAGTAGGATGAGGATGAAGAAGAAGAAGAAGTAGGATGAGGATGAGGAAGAAGAAGAAGAAGTAGGATGAGGAAGAAGAAGAAGAAGAAAGAAGAAGTAGGATGAGGATGAAGAAGAAGAAGTAGAGATGTAGGATGAGATGAAGAAGAAGAAGAAGAAGTAGGATGAGGATGAAGAAGAAGAAGAAGTAGGATGAGGATGAAGAAGAAGAAGAAGAAGTAGGATGAGGATGAAGAAGAAGAAGAAGTAGGATGAGGATGAAAAAGAAGAAGAAGAAGAAGAAGTAGGATGAGGATGAAGAAGAAGAAGAAGAAGAAGTAGGATGAGGATGAAGAAGTAGGAGAAGAAGAAGAAGAAGTAGGATGAGGATGAAGAAGAAGAAGAAGAAGAAGAAGTAGGATGAGGATGAAGAAGAAGAAGTAGGATGAGGATGAAGAAGAAGAAGAAGAAGAAGAAAAAGGATGAGGATGAAGAAGAAGAAGAAGAAGTAGGATGAGGATGAAGAAGAATTCCAGTGCAGCAAAAAGTGTATCTGCAGAGAGCTCCGCTATTTCTGACAGTTCTCTGACAGTTCCTTCACATTTACAGCGGTTGAAACATTGTATCTATTTGTTTCCGAATAAAAACATCTGTATCCTAAATGGAAACAAATAGATACAATGTTTCAACTGCTGTAAATGTGAAGGAACTGTCAGAGAACTGTCAGAAATAGCGGAGCTCTCTGCAGGGACACTTTGCCGGCTGTAGAAGGGATGAAAATCGGCCGATCGGGGAAAATTCGATTCGTGCATCCGAAGTTTGCTAATATTCGGATTCGGCACGAATCGAATTTTTCCTAATATTCGAAACGAATTCCACTTCGCCAGGTTCGATTCGCTCATCTCTATCGAAAGGGGTAGCTATTTTACTCGCTAGACATCTTCCCTTTACTATGTCAGACTCCCTTGCTGATCCTGAAGGCAGGTACTTATTCATAAAGGGTTCATTCGCCAATAGACCCGTCACATTTGCTAATGTATACGCCCCTAATACCAAGCAGGTCTCTTTCACACGCTCAATAACTACCACCCTATCTGCTTTCCATTCAGGTGTTCTGATCTTAGGGGGCGATTTGAATGTCCCACTATATCCTCTGCTAGACTCCTCCTCCGGAAGCTCCTTTTTACCGTTTAAGGCCCTCAAACAAATAAACATACAATTACAACACTTACAACTGCACGATTCCTGGAGAACTCTCTACCCCACGGTAAAAGATTATACATTTTATTCCGCACCACATAATAAGTACTCCAGGATAGACTATCTTTTTCTGTCGCAATCAGATCTCCCGCTACTCCACGCCGCTTCCATAGAACCGATGGTTCTTTCCGATCACCATCCCATCACCATGACTTTACGGTTCCCTGATACTTACACACGCTCGAAATGTTGGCGCCTAGACGCCTCCCTTCTTGCAGACTCTGCTATCGAACAAGAGATCCGCACCAATCTGGTTGAATACTTTTCCTTCAATTGCTCCCCTGATACCTCCCCACTCACGCAGTGGGAGGCTCATAAGTGTGTCATTCGGGGCGTCCTCATAGCAGCTGCATCGAAGAGTAAAAAAGATAGACAAGAGCGTTTGAGACGCCTCACAGATAAGATCCATTCATTAGAGAGAGCACATAAGCGGTCTCTGGCTGCGTCGACCCTATCCGAACTTACGTGTACACGTTCACAGCTTCTTACAGAATTGGGGAAGGTGGTTAAGAAATGGTTCATTCTCTCTCAAAAACTATACTATGAATTTGCTAACAAGAGCGGAAAGTTCCTAGCTAGAGCTCTCCGCGAAAAACGATCCAGTATGACGGTACATAAAATTAGAGGTCCCGATGGCACCATGGCCACATCTAATCCTGATATTGCTGCCCATTTTGAACATTTTTATAGATCCTTATATAACCTTCCTCCTGAACGCCCACCGCCGCATACTGACGAATCCAGGGCCTCTTTGATTTCTGAATTTCTCCAGCTCCACGGTCCGTCGGCTCTCTCGGACGACTTGGTCAACTCTCTGGAAGCGGATCTGACCCTGACTGAGCTGCAGTGTGCTTTGAAACAGACAAAACCTGGTAAGAGTCCGGGTCCCGACGGCTTCTCCGCAGCCTATTATAAATCCTTCTTGGATATCTTAGGTACCCCCCTTCTTTTGGCATTTAATACTTTCTCCAAATCCCCCCTACCTCAACATCATCGTCTTTTGGAAGCCCACATAACGGTTATCCCCAAGGGTGATAAAGATAACACGCAGGTATCCAACTACAGACCCATCTCCCTGCTGAATGTAGACATTAAGTTATTTGCGAAGATCTTGGCTAATAGACTTCTCCCCCTGCTTCCCTCCTTGATCAATTTGGATCAGGTTGGATTCATACCGGGAAGGGAAGCAAGAGACAATACCATTAAGGCCCTTAACCTTCACCATTGGTTGTGCAAATCTAACACTTCTGGTTTTTTTTTCCTTTCCCTGGATGCAGAGAAGGCCTTTGATAGAATTGCATGGGACTATCTGCAAGCGTCTCTGCTGTCACTGGGTTTGGGTGAGAAGATGCTCAACTTCATCATGACCCTGTACACAGGCCCCACCGCTCGAGTCCGGGTCAATGGACATCTGTCCAACTCGTTTTACTTAGGAAACGGAACACGTCAGGGTTGCCCCTTTTCCCCACTCTTGTTTGTCCTATCTCCTCGAGCCCCTATTGCGCAAAATCCGCTCGAACTCTGACATCAAAGGGATCAGGGTATTGGACAAGGAATACAAGCTCGCTGCTTACGCAGACGACATCCTTCTCTTCCTTGCTGATCCACACACTACTTTGCCTAATCTGTTAAAAGAATTTGCCCTCTTTCGATTCTTGTCAAACTTTAAAATCAACTTCTCCAAATCTTTTGCCCTTAACATATCCCTGCCTCCAGAACTCGTCTCTTTCTGTGAATCTCATTTCCCGTTTCGTTGAGAAAAGGATTCCCTTTCATATCTCGGCGTACAACTTACCCGCAACCTCGATGACCTCTATGCAAAAAACTTCCTTCCTGCTCTACGTTCTCTCCAAGAGGACCTCCACAAATGGCATCGTCCTTGTTTCTCTTGGTTTGGAAGGGCAGCTATAATCAAAATGAACATACTCCCACGCCTTCTCTATCTTTTTCAAACGCTGCCAATCCACATACCTGCTGCTTTTTTTACTTCTTGTAAAAAATTCTGCTCACAATTCCTGTGGAATCATAAGCGTCCACGTATTGCTTTTTCTCAACTGACTCTCCCCAAACTTAGAGGTGGAATTGGGCTCCCTGACCTTCACCGGTACTACTGGGCATGCCACCTTACACGCATAGTGGACTGGCATGTTCATTCTACCTCTAAAGACTGGGTCTGCCTAGAAAAAATGCCTTCTCACCCTCACCCCTGACATCGATTCCATGGTTACTGCCAAAGCATACACCTCAAGAGCTCCTCACCCACCCTTTAGTGGGGCCCAGCTTAAATATTCTCCGCCTGAACTGTAAAACGGTATCTATCTCTGAGTCACCGAATTCCTTAACCTCCATTCGTCTCAATCCTGACTTCCCCCCAGGCATGCACAAGTCATTCTATCTGAGCATTGGCCACATGACCAGATCTTGGTTAAACACTTTATCCGCGATGGAAAAGTAATATCGTTCCGCGAACTGCTTGATAGCCTAGATAGTCGAGATTTTCCTTTTTGGGCCTTTCTGCAGATAAGACACTTCCTGCTCTCACACAAACTGTTCCATAACTGGACTCGTCCCCTCACTCCTTTTGAATCCCTATGCTCTAGAGCTGAACCGCGCAAACATTTGATTTCGGAGATTTACCCTCTCCTTGTTGAGAGTAGGGATTATAATTCTTTACCCTCCTGCCGTGCTTGGAACAGAGACTTGGGAAACAGCTTATCGGACGCCGATTGGGACCTAATATTTATGCATACTCATAAATGCTCCCTCAATGTCTCGACTCAGGAAAACGGATATAAACTTGCTTCGAGATGGTACCGAACTCCGTCGAGAATCTCTCGTTTTAATCCTTCCGTCCCCAACAGCTGTTGGAGATGTGGAACCTCAGATGGATCCTTTCTCCACATTTGGTGGTCTTGTCCCAATATCCAACCATTTTGGCAGGAGGTCCACCGGCTTGTAGTGTCTGTGACCACCTTGTCCCTAGCTTTCTCTCCAGAGCAGTTTCTTCTCCATCACTCCTCTCTGCCCAGGGGACAATACCTCAAATCTTTAGCAATGCATATGGTCAACGCAGCCAGACTCTGTCTTCCCACTCTTTGGGGCTCCACCCGCCCTCCCTCCATACGCGATTGGCTGATCCGTGTGGGTAAAATTGCGGAAATGGAAGAACTGATTGCGACCGCACTCGATTCCCCCACTAAATTCTCCCATGCTTGGGCCTGCTGGAATCACTTTAAAACTACTTCTACGTACCGGTCCTTTATGAACCCGTCCAACCAACACGCCTGATTGATTACTAATCTCCATTGTATGTTACTCCACACTCTAGATCATACGGTAGGCGACTTCCCCACTTTCAGGGCTCTATCCCCACCTACCGGCTCCGGTTAATAGACTTTTGCTCAAATCCACCCATAAAAGACCCTTGGTGTTGATGACAATACAAACCCAGCCCCCCCCCCCTTCACCCCCCCCCCCCCCCCCCCCCCCCGTTTTGTTTTTTTTTGTTTGTTTTTTTTTTTTTTTTTTTTTTTTTTTTATCTTTTATCTTTTCTTGTTCTCCTTTTCTTTCTTCTTACCTTCTTGTTACACACCCAGTTAACCACTGGGTTCCTCTTTAGAGAACATTAGGCATGCCATTGTCATATTTACCTTGTTTACATTAGCGACCCTCACGACAATCTAAGCTTACTTACAGGTACCATCACTCCAGTAAAACACTAGCTTCATCCTCAACGGTTGTGCTGCATCTACCCTGCCTCCTTCTGCGGCGCTATAATGAGAATTACATACTAAGAAGGTCCGATGCGATAACATTCCCATGCGCACTACTAGTCTGCCTGAGTATTACAGACTTACCCCATTGTGGACTGGCACATCCATGCTCCATATGTGGTTCTTTGTAAGAATATTCCTACTTTCTCCCGACATGCACTGCCAAATGTTGTATATGACCATCATTTGCTTTTCTTTTGTATTATTATGCACTTTCTCAATAAACGTTTTTTTTTGGTAAAAAAAAAAAAAAACTATCAACATTTTATTATACTGTATGCACTTAATGATATCTAATCCTTCAAGATTGAGCTAATGTTTTCTCAATCTATTATTTGAGCAGGTAGACTGACAAAAAGTAACAAGCCTAGGGACTTTAAGAGCCCGTCTCAGCTGACTTCTGTTGACACTTCTGTTCAGGGGCAGACTGACAACTCATGGGGCCCCCGGGCAATAGGGGATCATGGGGACCCTGTGTCCTTGCCCAAACTTAAAAAAGCCTATGAAAAAGGTACCAGGGGCATCTCATGGGGCCCCCTACTGACCCTGGGCCCTCGGGCAGTGCCCGAGTTTCCAAATGGTCAGTCCGCCCCTGCTTCTGTTAAACTCTTTGTTTGTTCACAAAAATCCATGGGAATGCAAAAGCAGCTTGAAATAAGTTGATGCAGCAAAGAAAGGGGTGAAATGCAGTCCAGAAAGTAGTCATTTCAATGCAACATGCATCTGTCAATGTGTTAGAGTGTCTCAAACTGATGCAAAATGCAAGCAGAATACACTAAATATAAGCTGCATATGCAAGTTGATGTATGGCCCTTTACAATTACCTTTAGTTGGGGCTCAACATAAGTCACAGGATGCCTTCAATTTAATCTCAGTTCAAAAAATAGATGACAATGATATTTAATCTCCAAAAATAGGTTGTGATTCGGTGGCCAAGTATATCTCCTGATCTGAACCCAATCGAACATCTATGGGAGATTCTGAAGAGACAAGTTGAGCATCACTATCCATCCAGCATCCAGGCTCTAAAAGAGGTTGTTGTTAAAGAATGGAAAAAGACAGATGTTGCAATATTTCACCAACTTGTTCATTCCGTGCCTAGAAGACTTGGTGCTGCCCTTACAAATCATTGAGGTCATACGAAATACTAGATGTAGTAGTTTTTGTTGTGGGGGTGTATTCATTTTGCATCAACTACTTTGAGTAAAAACTGAATATTTTGTGATCTAAGTTATATTATTTAACTTACTTTCATGTAATGAGCTAAACAAATGTTCTATAAAACTAATTTTTGTCAAAATTGTGGAAATTGTTCTTGTGTTCATTGAAATATTGATTCAAATCTTACTTTTTAAAAGGGGTGTACTCATTTATGCTGAGCACGGAATGTGTCACAGCATTGGCTTACAGTGATTGGTACTTTACTGCGGCAGATAGTCTGTATGTTGCAACACATATATACAATTTGACGTCCAGACATTGATTAGACACATTGTTTTTAACCACTAGCCTTATACCCCCTTCCTGCCCAGGCCAATTTCCAGCTTTCAATGCTGTCACATTTTGCATGACAATTGCACGGTCATCCAACACTGTACCCATATGAAATTTTTATCATTTTTTTGAGACAGATAGAGCTTTATTTTGGTGTTATTTAATCACCTCTGGGATTTTTATTTTTTTCTTAAACAAACCAAAAACCAGTGAAAATTTTGAAAAAAAAATGTTTTTTCTTACTTTTTGTTATACAATTTTGTAAATAAGTGATTTTCTCCTTCACTAATGTGCGCTAATGAGGCTGCAGTGATGGGCACTGATAGGCTGCACTGATGGACACTGATAGGTGGCACTGATGGGCACTGATGAGGAGGCACTGGTAGGTTGCACTGATGGGCATTGACAGGCATCACTGATGGGCACTGAAAGGCAGCACTGATACATGACACTGACACATGACACTGATATATGGCACTGATAGGCGGCACTGATAGGTGGCACTGACTGGCACTGATAGGCGGCACTGACTGGCACTGGCACTGTTAGGCGGCACTGACTGGCACTGATAGGTAGCACTGATTGGCAGCACTGATAGGTGGCACTGGTTGGCATTGATAGGTGGCACTGACTGGCACTGATGGGTGACATTGAAAGGCAGCTCAAATGGGCACTGATATGTGGCATTGATGTGCACTGGTATGCACT